CTCCTAACAATGGTGTTCCAGGAGGGAGACAAGATAGTAGTACTTTGTGGTGAACCAAATTTGTGCAAGACATTGGTGACACCGAAGACTATGGTAAGGACAATAAAAAAAATAAAGTTCGGATTCATGATTGAGTTGCATAGCATGGAAGAGAAACATGACACAAAACTGATAGTGATTCTGATACCAATCCAACACTCCTACAATAATTTACAAAAATTTGCTAGTTACCACACGAATTGCCTTCTAGAAAAAAAAAAACGAGTGTGCAATAACCCTAAGACCAAGGGTTTCCTCGTCAATGTGCGCCCATATCGCTACCCTTAGAATTTCAAATCAAAGCTAACAGAGTTGGTTGAATCTTCTAGTAGAAGAGGAAGCGACCAGTTTAAGAGGATGGAGCTTAAGCTTCACCTATACTTAAAAGACCCGTTGACAACACTTTGCAATGATCCAAAAAACTACACTTATTTTTCTTAATGGAAATGGTAAAAGTGTCTTAGATGATAACTTTGGGGAACATAATATAGGGATGGCTGCTGAAAATGTGATTTCTATGTTTTATAGATGGAGAATGTATGACTACAACATCACAACATCCTAACATGGATTAGGTTGACAATGTGAGGCATATTTTCGATTATGTTACAAAAATAACTCTTAGGTCTCACTTCACGTATCGGGAGACATCACTTGTATGGAACTACAACTATGCATTTGTTGAATTTGGAAGAATACAAGCAAGGGACATGCTACAGCATCTATGGACAAGTAGAATATCTAATGCAACTACTGATGTCTAACAAGGAAATCGATCAATTGAGGTCCGTTCAGTGGGAGTTACTAAGACTGTTGCAATTAATTGAATATTGGGAGAAATTGCTTACAGCAAGAACATGATTATATCAACATATTATGCTTTATGCATCGAGCACCTCCTAGGAAATGATGGGGATATGAAAGTTCTTCTGGGGACATTTGAGTTAAAAAGGGTGCACCAAAAATTGACGGATGAGAAAAAAGTGTTGATTAAATAGAATGGATTGTCAGATTATGACATTACTTTCGAGTCATATGACTTGATCCAGTAGCAATTTCGTCTCTCTCATCTTGAAAATAAGGTGACTTTATTGGGAGAGCAGTAATTTTATATTGGCACCTATGGCGTTGTCCGCCTCATGCTCCACTGAGTTGACACCAATGTAGCACCGATATTTCTAAAAACGTGTTGTACCCATGTCGGACACGTATCAAACATTGACGCTTGTCCAACACGTTCTGACACTACAAAATGTCTTTTTTTTTTCAAACCTAAACACTTCTGGAACACACCTCAACACTGCATCGGACATGAGCTTAACCGATTTCAACAAAATGGGACACGAGAATTAGAAATTTATAAATATACGTATAGCCTTAATTGTACCTCATAATTGAAATTGCCACATCTCATGTCAAGTTGAAGCTCCCGCTAACATTCGTCAAAATCAAGCATCAAAAGTGCATTCAATGCTTGTCGAAGCAGAGCATTAGTAATTCCCTCATTGTGATTATATAATTTGTAAATTTTAACAGATAAGTTGGATGAATACTTTTAAAACATATAATTAAAAATTAATTCTCATTAGTAAGAAGTTTTATAATATAAATTAAATTTATGAAGTTAAATTTTATTCTTGCATAATATGAGTTGTGATATTTTTAATAAGGAATAAAGAAAAAATTAAGTTTTTATATTAATAATTAATTAAAAATAGAAATATGTTGATGACGTGTCGTGTCCTATTCTTTTCAATTATGTTGTGTCCTCATATTGTGTCGTGTCATGTTCGTGTCTCCGTGTCCATATTCATGCTTTCATAAGCCGACACCGAGCTTATCAAATAATTTGAAGACTTATGTTAGGCACAAGACTAAAAAGACAATTATTTTTGCAGTTATTTTATCTTGTAAAGCCCTAGGATAGAAGAACACTAGAATGGGGGTTAGGGGGTACACCACGATAGGCCATTGACTCATCATAATGCATGTATACAAACAAACCCCAAACCCGGAACTCGAAGCCTTCGCGACGAGGAACTTGGAGCAAGCCCTAATGGACGAAGGACTATGATCAAGACCCAACAACGGGGCGGATCTACATCAATTAAATCATTCCTCAGTTTCAAACAACAATAAATCTGTAGGACTTCGAGGTGGTCCATCAAATGTGATATAAATCCTCATCTTACCCTTTAGGCTCCTGCACAGTTGTGTTGTATAACATAAGCCCTAACTCTCTTTAGGTTTCAAAGTCGTCGTTCGGTACGACGTAAACCCTCATATCTCCGCAGGTTATTTGCATAATCGGGTAATATGCAAGACTAAGTCCCAAACAATAAATTGATAAGATTGAACACTTAAATAATATTGTCTCCAAAATGCAGCCAACAATAGGATGGTTTGGAAAATCAAAGAGGTTCTCCTCAAGATCCGTGGCATCCCCTACACTTCCCTCCTTTGGACTCCCAAATTAAATGTTCCTACTTGAGTCATTCCCACTTAACTTTTCATGCCTACCGTGAAAACTTGAACGTTGAATTCTTGAAGACTAGTACCTCTGATCATTATCGAGAGTTTTCTTAAGTGATTTCGATCATTTGAGATGTAATTACCTATATGAGTTTGCCCTCATAAGGAACTTATAATCCCAGGTAAAATAAACCATATATAATATATATATTAGGTAGAAGAATTTGTAGGTCACACATAAAAGATTCGCGGACCAAATGAACATCATAAATCATGTAGTTTATATAACTAAGTTCGATGTCAAATAGTATGCCCATCTCTTGATGCGATGTATTACTTATGGTGTTATGTTCAATCGTTTAAACTACTAGACGTAATGGATCGGTCCAGTCTCATATTTTTCAAAATTAAAACACTATTTTTAAAAATCAATATTATATATATATATAACTAAATCTTATTTTCAAAAAAAATTGACTGACAATGATAGCGTGGACAGTTGCAGGAGAAATTTAGTGGTAGAGCCAGTCGCATTATCCAGTGGGGTGAGTTCGTGAGGACCTTTAGCGTTTGGTTTGTATCACTGTACCAAGGAGGCAAATGCAGGACAAGTTTATCTGGTTGGTACAAGGTGATCGCTCGATTATGCAGTATGAAGCTGAATTCACCATGTTCTCAAGGTATTTGCCTTAGTTGATTCACATTGCAAAAAAGAAGTGTCATTGATTTTGGTCTAGGCTCAGAGATGTGATTAGACAGTTATTGATTCCTCTTGGAATCGATGATTACTCTGTTCTGGTGGAGACAGCTTGGATGATTAATTTGTATCTCAAGGCTACTCTAAGAATGATGAATACTCAGAAAAGAAAAAATTTAAAAAGATCCAAGTTTCCTCGGGGCTTTCAGAGGCAGTCCTTTCAATTAGCTAGTACAAGTGCTAAGAATGCTAGATCCAGTAGTGTTGGCACTCAGTTTGAAGCAAAGAAATAATAAGGTTACACACATTTTACTTCACAGTGCAACGGGTATAAGAGATGTTGTGATGAAACCATTGTTGCTCTCTCATAGCATCAGGCTAAAGGTCCCTTCGAACCACAAGCATCGCACCTTCATCAATTGGAAGTCGGTACTCCTGCACATCCTCACCATCTGTTGTCTCCAGCACCACTGCACACTTCTGCTCCCTACTCAATAAGAATTCTCGATTGGCTTCTGCCACTTATTTATTTAGTGGTATGGCTAGGGTTTAGATTTGGGAGGTGAAAAGTGTATAAGGGTTGATTTAGGGTGCAGAAAAAAATTAGGGTTTTTGATTCTAAAAATCAACAAGGGAGATTATGATTATGTCAATATTTGGCTATGGTTTGGTAAGTTTCGCTCACCCCAGAATGAAACTAGGATTAGACTAGCTCTGATACCAAATGATAACAGAATCGATATGAAAATGAGGTGAAAACACAATTCAACCACTAGTAATTTTATAGAAGCCACAAATAAAAAATACAACAAACTAAAAAATAAATAACAATGGGAAACGCTAGGAAATAGGGTGTATGTAGTGTCGTTTAGGGTTTGGACCTTTGGGGTGGTGGCACAGAGGCAACTAACAAGGTGGAAACAATAAGACAGTTGTTTCCAAAAGTCAAGACAGCAAGCAAGCCAGCAGCACAAATAGCTGCGGAAGGGCTGTCCGGAGCAGCAGCAACAAGGATGTGGGCCAGAACAGCCATGGGGCTGGCGGTTTGGGGTGGCGGCCGCAAGGGGGCAAGTAGGTACAGTTGTAGGAAAGTTTTCTAGGTTGCGGCGGAAAAGCAGAAGGGAAGGACAACAAGACAGTTGCTGTCCCTGGGTGGTGGCGACAGTTTGGACGCATAAAATAGCATTTTTTATGTTTTCAGAGCGGCAAAAGTAGGCAAACAATGATGTGGGAGTGATGCAGAAAAAGCTGGGTGAAAGAAATAGGAATGATAAACGTCATTTGGAGACTGAGATATAGTCGAAAGACCACTTGGAACCCTAGGATACAGCACTAGAAAAGTAAAAGAGGAGCCAGTAGCTCTACAAACTCCAATCAATCAAAAACTAAACCCTAAACATCAAAGAAACAGTCAAATAGACCTGCTACTATTAAGAGTGAGCCCCAATCCAAGGTCCCCCCAGCCCCCACGTCATTCTCTTCATCAGCATCTATTTAATACAATAACAGCTCAAATCAAAATAAAAATAAAAGTCAATGGCAATGCAAATGAACAAAAAAATCCATAATCCTAAAGATGAGAAATATAATAAAAGAATATACAGCTAAGAAAATATCATAGTTTCCATGGAGACAGCGGCACTCAATAAAATTAAATACATAACAAAGAGGCTCCATTAACTTCAAGAAATTAAAATGTAATCAAAATTGGGTTAACCTTCAGACAATTATAAGTATAAACCTTATAATAATGTGAACTCTATCGACAGTGAGGAAGGTTACCAGTAAAAACCTTATCAGACGAAATATGATTAGCCTTATCAAATCCCACTTCGCTTGAACAAAGAGAGTAACCGGAGACATCACATTTAGTGAATCCACAATTATTACCCAGTAATCTTGGGGTCTCAGTCAAATTAGCTGCATAAACATCAGCGCTTGGGCAGGTTGGTGAAGGAACAACATATCGCTCCAAGTCAAGCTCCAAACTAACTGCTGAAACATTCTGTTGAGTGCAATGAAAGACATTAGAATCATGTAGATGATATCAAGAAACGAAACTAAGTACTACAGAATCATACACAAAAAAGTTTAAAAGCATTCCTATAAGATCATGCAAGCTATACACAGCTAAATATAGAATGTTGTTGCCCTGTTGTTGCTGGTGAATGTCTATTGTACTTACCAGTTTTATTCAAGTCAAGCTTCAAAGGATGAGTTCACCAATTGTGGCACTTTAGGAACAAAAACCATACTGAAAAGGTTTTCTAACATAAATGGAGTGACCAGTTAAAAAACAGTAAGAATGCAAAGACAGTTTTCCCCACAACGTATTCGCTATATAGACTTCAAGGTTATTATACAAGTTAGTCGGCCATAAGATTTGTAAAACCTGAAATTTTAATAAATAAAAATAATAAATCAAATAAATAAATAAATATTTTTAGATGTGCCGAATTGATATAACCGTCGAGGGTTCGTTTAGTGAAGTCGGTCATTTCATTCATCGCCTACAAAAAAACGAGTGAAAAAAAGAGCAAGAAAATGAATGACATCGAAAGAGATGGAGAAGAAACAAGGAAAAGAAGAAGAATTCATCATTCCATAATTAGAAGGAAGGAGAGGAAGGGCTCTTATCGGAAAGAGAATTAAGAGGACATGAGTGGCTCGATGCTCAAAGGAAGGAGAGGAGCTCATTTTCTCCAGAAACAGCATCGGGTGTGACACTTTGCACTGAAGTTGAAAGAGGAGGCAGCACCGTGCCATAACTAAATGAAGGAGGTAGAAGATCGCCTCAAATGCACGATGCTAGAGTGAGCCGAGTTCGAAGAAATAAGGAAGGGAAGAGGCTCATGTGTTTTCGTGCTTAGTTTCGTGTCTCTCCAAGAAGAGGAAGAAGGATATGGGATCTGTGGCATTGTCCTGCATGCAGGAAGAAGAGGAGACAAGGAAGGAGGGAGGAGCGCATAAGATAGTGAAGTAGAAGCCAAAGCCAAGCCCTGTGATCCTTGTTGTCTCGCGTGCAGGATATATAGGAGTCGTGACTTCAGCAAGGCAAGGTTTTAAGCTTTTAAATTATATAAATTGATTAAATATAAATGTTAACGGTAAGTTTAATCAAATCAAAATCGAAGTTACTAAAGTCTCAAATTGGAGGTAGATAAAGGTCAATATTTATGCAAGAGAGATTAAGATAATTGAGATATATGTTAGGGTTTGTTTATTTTTAATTAATGAAACTAATATATACAAACTTCTGTATTAAAATATTAATAAGATGTTTAATTTAGCATTATTTAAGCATTAGAAGTTCAGATTAGAGGGAGAAGACAAAAATTTGGGATACTAAAGGTAAGTAATTGCTTTCATATATGTATTAAATTGATGTTTTCTTAAATAAAAGCTTGTTTTAATGCTTCATATAATTATTTTAATAATTATATGCATGTTGAAAACTTATGAATTATTGAAATGAAAAAGTAAAAATGAAAGTGATTCTTTAATGACATTAAATGAAGGTAATTAAACAAAATGAAATGTAAAAATTCAAGTCATTTAGGATTACCCCCAATTGGTATTGACAGGGAATATGATCTATCATGCACAAAAAAGAAATAAAAATGGTAGAAGTGACCCTTCGGTTGTAAAATCTTGAGGATACCTACGGGTACAATTTTAATGATACATTCGGATATAATAGTGTTGACCTCATTTTTAGTGAGGTCTAGTCT